GTCTCATGTCTAAAACACTCGTCAAAATTGATTGGCACGAACCAAATGAGATGCCAATATCATCAGCAATTTCTCTAATGATAATTCGACGATTTCCCAACACTATTTTCTTCACTTCTTCAACATTCTCATCAGTTGTTGATGTGCTGGGGCGTCCAGAACGAGGTTCGTCGTCGGTGTCTTCTAGGCCTTCTTGAAAGAGTTTATACCACTTGTAAACATTTTTTTGGCTTAAAGTAGACTCACCGTATGCCACTTTCAGCATTTCAAGTGTTTTGGAACATTTGATTCCATTTTTCACACAAAATTTAATGCAAACTCTTTGATCCATGTTTTTAGACAGCAGCAAATCGTGGAGCACGCAAAACACTTCTAACCTTGATGCCTCTCACAAACAAACCAAACATACTACAAAGCTGAAATTTGGAACGTATGTTCTAGACGAGTGTACCGACATAACCAAATAAAAAAGTCGAAGATCGAACGGACGTAGCCCGCTAAATTTCAAAATTCACCTTACTTTTTGATCACACCTCGTATATATGATTTAGATATATATACGGGCAAGTTTGGTACTGAATCTGAAAATCCTTTAGCTTCTGTTTGTTTGGGATCGAGAGTGATTATCAAATTACTTCAAAGGTTCCTGGAGACGGTTAAAAATGAAAATCTGGCAAAATATCATTTGTTTTTTGATAACTTCTTTACATCTCCAGATCTCATGATTCACTTAAGAAATATTGGATTATCAGCTACAGGAACTGTTCGTCAAAATCGCGTAAAAGCAAAAATCGATATGTCAAAGAAAGCTGATAGAGGAACAACTATCTCAGTTCATGAAGCCAATTCAAAACTGAATTACATAACGGTGATGGACTCAAAACCCGTATCAGTTCTCTCAACTAAATACGGAGATGAACCGAAAGTTGAAATGAAAAGATGGCATAATAAAACTAAACAAAAATTTCTCTTTCTTCAAGCTTTCTCAATGTATAATAGGCACATGGGTGGAGTAGACTTACACGACCAGCATTGTAATGCACTTATGCCTATAATCCGAAGCAAAAAATGGACGTGATGTCTCTTCATGAGACTTATTCAAGCTTCATTAGCTAATGCTACTGTTATTTACAATAAACTCCATCCAGATGAGAAGAAAGGTTCAAAAGATATTGTGGAGGAAGTTTGTGAATATTATATTCAAAAACTCGAAAATACTCATCGACCCAAACGACAGAAAAAAGTTAAAACTCCGACAGAGGAACATCAGATAAAGGTTAGGAAACGTAGAAAGTGTGACAACGAAAATTGTTCAGTATTGACTGAATATTGTTGTTCAAAATGTAATATTTATTTTTGCAAAACTTAGAGAAAATTATTCGTAATTGTTTTTAAGGATCTGTTTTGAAGAAAGTAGTTCTTTTACCCATAATGATTAACAAAAACAGTTGGGCCGAAAAAAATAATGTTAGAGAGGTTTTTGTCAGCATCACTTCTCAGTTTCAAATTGTTTATAACGAAATTACACCAACAAAATCGAGTCTGACAAAAAAACGCTACAGAGGTTTTCGCCTTGGTTTTTCCCGTAGAACCGATTGCCGTAAATAGTTTTTCAAAAAACTAAAACTTTTGTCAATTTGTTTAAATAACTTTTTATAAACAATTGGAAATGCAAAAAGAAAAAACACGCGTAAATTACTTTTGAGCTATAACATTAACTCAATAGTTATTTCAAGGCTATCTCTACCAGATTCGGCTTGGGTATTAATGGGTTAAACATATTTTTATTTGTCATAAATTATGTTTGAGCTACAGATATATTTTATCAAAAAAAATGGGATACCCCAGGTACGGTGTAGAAATCAATTATTTTGAGAAAAAGCAACTGATAAACTCAATTCTCCCAAAGTTATGTCTATTAGCCTACATTTGGTTGGGTAAGGGTGGTTTATGGGGGTTTGGTGGGTTAGAGGCAGGTTGGTTAGTTGAGGTAGCTCGCTCATGCATTGGATTAAATTATTTCAAGAAATAACAAACGACTAAATTTGTTTATCTTAGGGTTAGGTGGGTTAACCTGCTGATAGTTTGACGGGGGTGGTTTCTAGAGGGTGAAACACCCCTTAAATATTTTTTTTTTAAATCCGGAAACAGGTTAATTTGATTTTGGTATTTTCTCATTATCAGTGTGATTTTTAAATCACTCGAGCTGATTTACTATATTACATGTCGTAAAACAGTACAAAAAATAATGTATTTACCCTTATTAATAAGGGGGTTGCAACCCTTCGGTATAAATGTTATGTCCTTAAAAGCGCCTTTTTATAAGAAATTTTTTAACGTTGAGTTTACTGAAAAATATTCATTTGATGCTGAGAAATATTAAAAAAAACTGATTTTAGGGGTTGATTTTCAGGGTGGATTTCACCCCTTAAAAGCCCTTATGGGCCGATAAAAAAAACTTATCTAATTTTTTTTCAAGTACTACAACATATCCCAAAATCATGCAAATCGGTGAGGTCGGGTTGGGGTAGTTTCCTTGTCAGTGGCAACAATAGCATCTGAAATTATAGTAAATGAAACTAAATCAATATATACAACGATTACACTTCGAAAAGACATTTGTCTACCCATTAAACTCAATGATAAATACATTCAACAAAGCAACTACGTAAAATATTTAGATATACACCTAGATCGGAGGCTCACATAGAAAGAACACATATTTACAAAGCGCAAATAGCTAGAACTAATGTAGAGAAAATGTACTGGCTCATCAGTGGAAAAACGAAGCTATCAAATGAAAATAAATTACTGCTATACAAAGCTGTACTAACCAGTCTGGACTTATGGTTTACAACTATAGCGTTCTGCTTCAAACTCAAACATTGAAATTTTGGACAGATTTCATCCGTTATCAAATTACGTAGCATTATGCGGCCCCGTGATTCGTCCTAAATGAAATTTAAGAAACGATCTACAGGTTACAATAGTAAAAGCAGAAATATAACTCCCGACTCCAAAATAACCCAAAGAAACTTATCAGTAAACTTCTCAAGGCTAACTCTAACTAACATCAGATTCAATAAATGTAAACTCATGAATACATGAAAAAAATCCTGATTTATTTGATATATGCATGATTAGAAATTAAAAATAAGTGATAGAATCCTCACTGAAGTATTACTCTGAATTTCATGTTCATATAACAATATTGCAATAACATTTATTTATTGTCTTAAAATATTACACAGATTGTTAATAAAAAAAACAGCAGTCAAGGTCTGAACAACCATTTAACAGCGGATATATTTAAATATTTATACGAAGACCATGAATTTATGGAAATCAATCTTACCGAAGCATTCCAGAGACAAACCAAACACTACAATCTCCGCCGAAGACAATGGAAATCAAAATAGGTGACTTAGTATTCATAAAAATATATAATAAAAATAACAACATAAACGTCAAACTAGAACCAAATTACAAAGGTCCATTGAGTATTTTTAATTAACATTCTACAGTCATCTTTAAATTACGAACTAGTAAATATAGAACATACAAATAGACACACGTAAGTGACTTAAAGGAATGCCTACAAATTTCTGAGCCGTATATGGTCGAGGCGTGCGTAAACTCAGCAATGATAGATTCGTCAACGGTCGAAGTCATGTACGAGTAAGAGTTTAAGTAGTTGCAGAATTACCGATAGTCTGCCACCCATATAGTCTGTCTGCTTTGTCACCACCGACATTAAAAGAGAAACCAGTCATACAACGTCCAGAGACGGAAATTTGTCATATGGAAATTCTGCACCAATCCACTGATACCAGTCACCATTAAATTATAAAAAAATTACTTTATATACAGGTGAAAATCTCGACTGGGTAGATCGAGATTCATGGTACAATTATCAGAAGGCGAGATCTCTATGCCCGACAACAGCTATAAGTAGACCCAATAGGGGACATTGGACGGAGCCAAAAATTTTATCCACCCTCATACATCACCTTTAATTTCATGTTAAAAGATGTACGATATATTCAACATTTATGCTTAGTTGACAGTGTGTGTATCGCTCTTAGGTCTTGATGAACCTATTATATGGTTCGAGAAGTAGTACCGAGAGCTTTAGCGGCAAGCCAGCTTGGTGTCTTATGAAGACCATCGAGAAAATGCTCTGATCGGCTTGATAAAAAAAATCATCGCTAACTCGGCTGTCACATAAATTATCTCTTTCAAGATGCTAAGGTTAAGATCTATTCAAATTTAGAGAGGCACGAGGTTTCAACACTGAACATATAGTATATATAAGTTCTCAAGTTGGATCCCACTTGAGGAACACGATACTTCATTAGTACGATATCAGCAACGTGTGCGATTAAATCTGACCGAAATAATTAAACTAAAGTAGATTCTTTTAATATTTAACTAACCCACACTAATTAAAACTAGTGTAGACTAGAACAAAACTAGAACAAACTGTAATTGAAAGGTTGAAAAGTAAGAACAATAAAATTTGTATGTAAACTGAAGATATAACTTTGATATAATATCATTCCTTATAAAGTCTAAATATCTGCAATGGGTAATTTGAATAAAATTATTATAATATCTCAATAGGTAACATGACAATAGAACGATAAGAGGAAGTAGAAAGAGTAGAAAGTAGAGAAAGGACAATAATAGCACTAATAATAATAGTGCTAACTGAAATATAATATGTGGTCAATGCATACCAAACTATGCAAAGCTAATTTTGTTCTGTAAACAAGCTTTTTTAACGAAAGCATTTATTCATTCGCTATTTGCACAGTGAAATCCATGATAAAGAGTAATTTTAATTCCATCGTGTGTCATTTTTAAATTACTGTAAGACAATATTCATGATCAATAAAATATTTTTTAAATTGTTGTATGGAATAAAAGGAATAATAAAATCCATGATATATACGAACGATTTGTATGATATTCAAACAAAAAGATATAAACCTACTTACTTTTAATACATCTTCAATTTTTATTGCACCGTCTCTGTCATCATCAATTTTTCCCAATATCTCCGTTATTCTAGCCAATCGGTGATCATCTGGAATACTTTGAAGTTTTTTTATTGCAGCAGCCAGCTCATCTATTTTTATTAATTCAGCAGCAAACTTTGAATTTGATTTTTTTTCATCAGCAAGCATATTAATTTCTTTTTTCATTCTTTTTTCAGATAATTCTAATTCCAATAAAACATCATCCATTTTATTTATCATTTTATTAACTTTAGCAAAAAGTAATTTTGCACCCGTTGATACTTTAATATTCTCAACTTCTACGAGTCCTCGCGTTTCTGCTTTCAATTGATGAAATTCTTTAATATCTTCTTGATATTCAGCCATTTCTTCTTTAAGTTCTTTTAATTCCTCTTTTTCTATGGCCATTTTTTTCTTTTCCTAGATATAAATCAATCTCTAATTATTTACTGAATTTAATATAAATAATTAAAAAAATATAATAATAAAGGTAGTTTAGAAAAATTAATTTAAATATTAAAAACACAATTTTTTTTTGGCTGAAAATCAATGAGTCATTTATATAACTAATATTTATTTTTTCATTAATAATAAACTAATTATTTCTCCTGATTACTTCGATATAACTATTAAAACTAAAGATATTGTTAGTTTATTTTAAAAAATTCGGCGTTATCTAAAAATATTCAGGAAAACTAGCTATAAATCGATTTCTAATTAATAGTTTTCATCGTTTATGATCACATTTTTACGAAAAAAGTGTGTTCCACATTTTTGTTACATAGTAATTTATTAATATTCATGTATACATAGGTGTAAGTGGTAAAATGTTGCAATTTTTTTCAGATTATTGATAAGACTTTGTTATATACAGAAAAACAGCCTAAAACTTAGGGTAGATTATTTATATAGATGGATGGATTGTTAGATAGATGGGTGGCATGACACACGCTCTTTTCGAAGTTCTGAATTAGAATCTGGAAGCATCGCATCGCTTCGCAATGCTCCGTTTTCTTTTTGAACCGCGAATTTGCCGTATGTTAAGGAGTTTTTCGTACTTATAATAATAATGGAAGTAGATGGAGCAATTCTTAGCACAGATTAGTGTTCACCGGAAAAAATTACATGGAAATCATGTATATACTACGCTTGGCATCGATGTTTCCTCTGTTGTGTCCTATGATTATTAACTAATTGAAAATATTGCAAACTTCAACTCAATTCTTTTCTTTCAAATATAATGAAAAAAAGTTTTTGTAGTACGGGCTTTTATTTGTCTTTGAAAAAGTTACAAAATGGCCTATTTATTAAGAAAGAATTACTAAACCATATTTAAAAATCAAAAAATTATTTTTTTCAAAAAATTTGAACTTTATTCTTCATTTTGAAGGTCAAAAAGTAAAGTGATCTATATTAAAATATTTTTTCTTTATTCTACATAAATTAAGCTTTCAAATACCGTCGTAATTATTCCACTAGGACTGTCCGTTCGTGATTTATTTCATTTTAGAGATTTTGCAAACATTTCAAGTACGATGCGGCGTAGCAATTAAACAGAAATACTGATAAACATATTTGTATTGAGGAGTACAAATATATGAAATTTTGATGTACTAATACTAACTGAATAATGGTAAAAATTGAACTGTAGAAATCAGTATAAATATGTCACGATATGGAAAAGAATAATTTTATCGATAACCTTATATACATAAGGTGGGCCTTTTTAAGTGAAGTACTCAGATATTTTGTTCCGATTAAAGAATTGCAAAAAATTTTTTATCTAAACAATCATTATCACGATAATTCGTTTGGCTTACATGGACTGGTGTTATTGCTAGCGAGATTACCTGATCTTAAATCTTCAGATTTTTATGTGTTGGTTTTTTATGTAACGTTTGAGTCTTTCTCGCGTTATCAAATAGATAGCTCGGACTCTTTCTATTGTATTTGTAATCGCGTTTCCGAGAGTAGCAAGAAGTTGACACGTATATATTCTATAAGAAATGAGATATCAGAATTTATCGAATAGCAAACGCAAAGTTTTCTATTTCGATGAATCGTTTTGAAATACAATTGAGTGTGATTACATCTATCGGGGAGAGGCCCGACAGCACCGCAATCAATACTCAATTTAATTTCTTAACAGTTAGTAAATCTGAGGAGAGGAGCTAGGGCTACTTTTTTCTTACAAGAGAGGTAGTCTTATGAGTTGAGCACTTAGGTATCGACAGGAGAGGAATTAGCAGGCTAACCACTGAATCAAGAAATTAGTCTTAGTAAATTGCTGAGCTTTTATTTCCAATCAATGCTCGCGCTGCTAAGCAAGGTAGGATAGTGAATCCTCTTGCCGCAGCGACGAGCGAATTTATACTTGCGAAATCGGTTCCTTTCTACGCTTGGTAGCCCCTACCACGCTATTTTTGAAATTGATACAACCTTTGCACATGTTTTGTCGCAAAATGGCTCGATCGAAATAGCAATTGTATGATTTAAAAAGTTAGATATGAAATAACGAATTTTTGAACATAAATCGTTTCTCGAGGAAAAATCGCTTTTTAGAGTTATAAGTAATACAGTTTGATAATCAAATAACGCCAATTTTAGAATAAATTTACGGAAAATTTTTATATAAAAAAATCGCTAGTGATTAGTGGAATATTATTTAAATTAAAAACGATTAATATAGCTATCCACTTTTGAATAATAATTAAAAAACGAATTTGCAAATTTCTTTTTTAGCCATTTAAAAATCAGGAAATTAGTGACAATCATTATCATTAATTTAACAGATATATACAATCGACTCGGTATCTAATAACGCAATTTTAATTGTTTAAATAAATTATAAATTTTTTATTTATTGATAACTCAGTGAAAAATTGGTTACCAAAGTGTCAAATTCTTGCTTCTCTGTTTCAATACGTTACGAACGTAATTGCATATTCGAATTAACAATATAATTATTTATTGCAAAATAACTAAAACTATTAACTTGTAAATTAAATTAAACTAATAAATACGGATTTGAGAACTATAAGAACATGAAATTCAAGATCAGCGCATCAAAATTAACTAAAAAAATGCTTTTGTTTATTTGAAAAAATTTGCAATTGTCGATTTTGCATTGTAAACAATAAATTTCCCACGGTCGTGACGTCACGCTCCTTATATGGTCTTGTTTTCGCTGAGTGGCCCTAACACATTTACATATGGGTAATTCTAGGCTATTTCGATTGACTTGTAACCCTTAGGTTACGGATTTTTTTTTAATTTGGCACAATTGTTGTACACATAAAACTGAGATTTTTCCCAAATTTTGGAGACGATACATTAATTATATCAAAAGTTATTAACAATTAAAGAAAAATGATAAAAAATTTTCAAACAGCTATATTTTAAAAACTAATAAAGATATCGAAGTCGGATTTTTTTCAAAATACTTATAATGCCTTAAAATTTCGAAATAATTACAACAATAAACAATAAAAATTTTTTCGAAAGTTATTAACTTTTTGTTTAAACAATTGCTAATATCTCAAAAAGTATATATTTTTTTTTTTAAATTCTTGCTGCTACGTATTCCTGAGGATTTTTGCTATAGAAATCAATCATAAAATTCGAGGGCCCGACGTATCGGAAAGCGTAGCCCTAATCAAAAGAAGACGCCTCGGCGTAAGGCTGCGGTAGCGCTCCAGTGGACTCACGGTCGAAAGGTACTTTAGCTTTAATCTAAAAAACTAATAAAGATACCGAATCGGATTTTTCCCAAATTACTTATAATACCTTGAACTTTCGAAATAATTACAACAATAAACAATAAAAAAATTTTTTCGAAAGTTATTAACTTTTTGTTTAAACAATTGCTAATACCTCAAAAAGTATATTTTTTTTTTGAAAAATTCTTGCTCCTACGTATTCCTGAGGTTTTTTGCTATCGAAATCAATCATAAAATTCAAGGGCCCGACATATCGGAAAGCGTCCCTGCTATAAAAGTTCAATTGAAAACCATTGAAGAATTTCTGAATGGTTTTCAATCTTCGATCTGAACACTCCAAATGACCATTGAATATGATTCCTCATCCAACAAGAAATGTCAAGATATTAAATACTATTGGTTCCAATAATATAGATTACTATTGATTCCTAATCGAGATTAATCATTATCAATAGAAAAATATACTATTAAAGTAATGGTTTTCAATAGGATTCAATGAAATTTCTCATGTATGTTACCCAATCGATTTCAATGGTAAAATTCGTGGTCAAATCGAAGATTTGAAACAATTCGAATGCGATAATCAATTTGATTGAATTGATATCAATGGTTTGTTATTGCAACATTCAAGTCTCGTATCGTTGAATAATTTTCAATAGTTTTGAATATGAAAGTCCTAACATTTCAATAATATGCAATAGAAAATATCAATCTAATTGATAATATCCAAAGCATAAGATACGATTCTTCAATTATAGTATCGAACAACTATTCAAATTTATAAAAAATCATTCAATTATGGAAATTTTTTCGTTCATCATCTAATGAAAAATTATAGAATAAAATTATATTTGATAAGTTTGTAGAATGAAGGATTATTCAAAACTATACAAACAACTTCTCAATAGAATACGATTGAGTTTTACTTGCATTTACCAATCATTAGATTTCATTAAAAAATATTCAATTGAAAATATTTGAAATTTTTTTGTTTGCCTTTCATAAGAAATTATAGAATACTATACCTCATTGAATGCGATTAGGTTATTTTTATATTGACCAATCATTAAGATTAAAAAGAAAACTATTAAATGAAATATTGCTAAAGTTACAGTATTGCTTTTGCTCATATTGGCATATATGGAAAACCATTCTATAAAATATTATTGACCAACCGTGTAATTGGATAAAAATTAATATCCATATAATATGATTCAATAAAATATGATTGGACAATTATTGTATCGAAAAATTATTAAAATTCATAGAAAGATATACAATAAAATATCATTGATTAATTATTTTATTGAACTGTGATTGATATTCATTCAATGCAATTGGATAGATTATCATTGAAACCATTCCTATACAAAGTATTATTCAGAAAGATTGAATTCTATTAAATTTAATGGTAAGTTTTACTATTAGTTATGCTTACCATGAAGTATTATTGAAAATCATTCAGTTTCAATCGTCATCGGAACATTGAACCATTCAGTTCATTGATTACCATTGAATATGAATGATCCCGAATAGGAATGAATGGAACTTTTTTAGCAGGGGTAGCCCTAATCAAAAGAAGATGCCTCGGTGTCCGGTCGCTTTCGACCGTGAGTCCGCTGGAGCGCTACCGCAGCCTTACGCCGAGGCGTCTTCTTTTGATTAGGGCTACGCTTTCCGATACGTCGGGCCCTCGAATTT